AGATCAACTTGAAAATAAAAATTTGGAACAAAACCTAATCTGAACCTTAAGCCTGGTTTTCACTAGCGACGGAGTCGGAGTCGGAGTCGTAAAGGCTGGGTTTCACTAGCGACGTAGTTGGAGTCGTAATCAGAAGCGTAGAGCTTATGATCTAGTGAAAACAGCGTACCGATTCCGCTTACGACTCCGTCGCTTACGTTCCGCTTATGATCTAGTGAAAACCAGATTGTCGGAGTCGGAAGCAGAAGCAGAAGAACCAAACCAATCACAAAGCGTGGGAACGTGCATTGTGATTGTTTCATCCTTCCGCTTCTGCTTCCGACTCCCACGCTCTGGTTTTCACTAGATCATAAGCGGAACGTAAGCGACGGAGTCGTCAACGGAATCGGAACCCTGTTTTCACTAGATCATGAGGTCTACGCTTCTGGTTACGAATCCGACTCCGTCGCTAGTGAAAACCAGCCTTTAGCCCCATCAGTGGCTTCTTTCCCAGCTCTACTTTCAGTTTCCATTTTTCATTTTCCCGTTTCTCGTGCTCGTTCACCACTTCCCGTTCCCCCGCTTTAATAAAATCCCAGGCTCACAAACCCAAAAACAGCATTTAAAAATCGTGGTCTGAAAGTATGCATCATGATAACAAGTGGTTCACGCCGCAGTAGATGCAAGGTATGCACTTATATAAGCCTGCATTAATTTACCTGGGTTCTAAAGTTCAGAGAACCCTGGTAACTCGAACTCTGAAGAAAAACGAAACAGTTCGGGATCAATTGAACTTTCAATTTGCCATTGTTGATAATTGATAGTTACCGATTTTCAGCACTTCAGTGCTTTTAGAGTACGAGTAGTAGTCGCTTCTTGGAGATTTTTATCCGGCAAATACTAGAACGCAAGAAAGTCACCTTCCTTTATCATACTGATGGTATTTGTTTCTTTACTGAATTTTGTCTCGTTAGCAATTATTCGCCGAAGGTGAAGTTAATATTGCTGAATGACCCCCAAGTTGAATCCCAGAAAATTATTTAACAACATTAACTTGAAGAAAATAATTGTTTAAAACATTTCTACTTAAAAATATAGATACCAAACGAGGATAATAAGCCTTTCCCGATTTCACCCGGGCCTCTGTATCAAAGTGCTGAGCCTTTGATATGGAAATAATTTTTCATTCTAATGCAAATTTTCACAAGAACGGTTGCGCACTTTGGTGGATAGTGAGGGTTTATGGAACTCGGAAGTGGCCTACTGTTTTAGATACATTAATTTGGGGAACTCATAAATATTTAGTAGGTATATTGTCCATTTAAATCAGGATTTATTTGTCACATGCAAGAACCTTTGAACAATAGAATGCTAGTAATTGGTATAACTAGTCATAATAGGTTGAACATGTTATTAACATGAATTTTATATGAAACAGTCATCTTAGTTTACAGACCGATAAAATTCTAAAAATAAATAAATTAATTAACTGATAATGATTTGGAGAAACATAAACGTGTAAAACTACCAAAATGAAGTTCCGACGAGCAAAACAGATTCAATCCGTGAGAAAATCTTTGTCTAACTTTCTCCATTCATGAAAATTTAGAGTACTTTAACTTCATTTTAAGTTGCATTAATTTCAATTTCTTGATAATGGCGTCATGATGTTGCCGAAAGGTTGGAGGAACCATTTTTTACATGTTTAAATAAATAAACAGAAAAAGGGAAGAAAAAAAGAAAATGAACAAAAAGTAACACAAGTCAAAAAGAGACGTTCAGAGGACCGAAGGTATTTTAAAATGAAAAGCAAAGTGGGCACGAATTTCCGCCCAACCTCATGTACTTAAAGAACACAAGAGGAAGAAAACGAACAAAGAAAATGTTTCTCCCTGTTGTCTTAAACAATATCTCGTGAACCTTAATTCCTTAAATAACCCGTCCGTTTTTCTGTTGTTCAGTGTTGTTTTTTTCACTACTCCTGGATCTCTAAAGATGTTCTGACCTCTTCATTTTCAGTCATTCTCCGAATATTCAAGGCTAGTTTTCAATGGTGACAGGATTGGATCGACTTATTGAAAAGAGCGTTTCTGATTCAGCTACGACTCTGTTGTTGTTTCCGACCTCTTGAAAGAAAATAGGTTGTCTAAGTCAAACGGAAAAATAGAGATGCTAATTAAAAACCAATCATTAAAGCATAGGGCCGATTTTTTAACTTCCTGCTTTTGCTTAAGTAAGTAAATAAGTAAATAAGAAAATAATAATAATAATAATAATAATAATGATAATGATAATGATAATGATAATGATAATGATAATGATAATGATAATGATAATAATAATAATAATAATGTATTGGGCAATTAACAATGTAAAATTTTTAATTGCGCATTACAATGATAAAAACCTAAAAATTTAAAATTTAATAGCCATAAAATATGTAGAATAAAATGTATATAAAAATAAAACGGTAGATTTTAAAAGCTGTCGCCAATAAAAAGGTCTTGGTAGCCTCCTTTAAACTTTGCACGGATGTGATGTTCCTTTAACCTAAACGGAAGATCGTTCCACAGTTTAGGGGCGGCTATTACGTAACATGTGGACGTCTCGTCGGATTCAGGTTGAAGAGCAGGTGAGTCAATAGGATCAGCCTCAAGCCGTCGGTATCTTAATACAAGCGTGGTACTCCCCCCCCGCCTAGTAAGTCAAAGGGTCGGCAGTCTCGCGAGATATATTTGCAGCGAAATGCAAACTCTTCTTTTTTTCGCTATATTTAAATCTTGAAATAAAGACGAAGAAGGAACACCAAATCAAACGATTTTATCACGTGTTAAGTTTTATCCAATAAGGTAGCAAGCAAACAGCCCATTCGAGTCAGTATTAGCCCCGGGCATTTTTCTCTCAAAACGTAGTCCATGGTGAAGAACAGTTCATAAGAAAGTCCTTTTCTTAATTACAAAGGATACGGATAACCACAAGTACTAACTATGACGAAAGGCTAAAGGTTACTCGAAAATGGCCTGCTTCTCGTTAGGTGGTTATACTGAAAATAAAGGTGTAATTACACAGGTACTAATCCGCTGGTTATTGATATACAAAGTTTGTCAACAGGAAGCTTTGTTCTATCTAAATTTATTTTGGTTGAGATTACACTTCCTTGATTGCAAATGACGTTAGCATGTCTTCACTTTTAGTTCCATGCTAATTTTAAATTCATTTGTAATCCTTTCGATAGGAGCTATCGATGTAAACTATTGAGTGCAACAAGTTTCTTTTGCCGCTTGAGGGGACGCCAGAGTAGCTTGTTTAAAGAAATCAAGGGCTTCTACAACTACAAGAGACTTCTCTGAAGACATTTTCTCTCTTTGTTGAGTCAACTTAATTTGCAAGCTAATGCTGCATAGTCAGGATTCATGCCACGAGTTGGAGCAAATATTGAGAAGTTTATAATTACAAGAAAACTTTGAGCCTGGGAGCAAAGCAATTTCCACAGACCCTGCAACCCATAATGTTAGCAACGAGGAAGTAGATGACAAGGGGCCTAAAAAGTTACGAGAAATCCCAGTTTTCAAAGTTGAGTTTTGCGATGAGCAATCGGCTCAAGATATATTCATGGAAATATCAACAACTTCATACATCCAAGGAATAAACAATGAACGGTTTGAGTTTTAAGGTTTACGTGCTCAACGACACGGAACTTTGATCAAAGTTGTCGTTTACTAGCAAGGTGGAACTAAACAAGACTTGACAAGAAATCCGAGAGTTTGTTTATACCTTGTAGGTCTTAATCCCGGAGGGTTTAATCCCTATAATGGGCTATATCTGGAGGGGTATAGGCTCTGCCCGAAAAAGGTATCTTTTTCAGAATTCAGGTACGTGAAAGGGTAGGGGTTTCACTTGTTACTCTTAATGTTGAAAAGTGAGTCCAGAAGGCGATGTTTCAAGACATAAATATTTTAAAGAACGCGGAAACTTAATAACAACACTTAAATCGGACGTGTGTAATTTTTTTCTGCTCTGCAAGATCTGTAAGCAAAATCTGTAGATGTCAGTGAATCTACACCTGACAGTCAGGATAGTCAATGCAAGACCGCGCATGAGTACCTCGTGTTCTTATGGAGTTCAGATTTTACAAAGCACGAAAAAAGCGCGAGGGAATTTCTGAAATCTCGAGGTATTTAAAAAGAAAAAAAAACAGCAAATGCCGTCATCTCAATAAGCACAAATGTCCTATTTTCCGCTTTTACAAAACTTAAATCCCTTTAGAATATACTTTTTTAATCACTTTACATTTTCCTTTCCTGATGGTAAGTGCTATTGACATAACGACAGTTGTTTTAAGTAAAACATTCATTGTGTAATCCAACTCACGGCACTAAAAGTTGTTGTTCTGTCCTCATAAATAAAGTCAAAACTGTCAATTGCAATACACCTAATAAAGGTAAAACAGATAAGAGCCAAATTGCTGATTACGTAGTGGACAAAAAAAAGCAAAACAAAGCAAAAAAAATTGGGAAATAACTTGGTTATGTTCATGATTCGGCATTTGGGAACAGTAAAGCCGATGATTCGTGGAAAACGCTAATTCGTGTCACATTTTTTTTTTTTTTTGGCTTACTGAGTGTCGTAATCTTATTCTGCTTAACTGGTCTCGGCGTGGGTTTCCCAGATACTCTCCTCTAAATCTCAGTTTGTGCCAACAAGAAAAACACACAAACCTTGTGTGCAGCTCCCTTCAAGCCAGCGCTCGGTTTATTCACGAAAAGAGTAAAAGATACATACCATATCATAGAAACGTAATATATAAACCAAGTAACATACAGCTCCAAAAAACTAGATCACAAGCTAAATTAAATTGAAATGAGGTCGTGGAACAACAGCTTGGTGAAAAACCTCCCCGTACGTCCACTTGCACCTAGGAGGAAAACCTCAGGCCAGCTGTACCCCATAAAAAACGGTCCCCCGGGCAAGACCAACTAAATAGAAACTAGAATCAATTAAAAGCGGTACGAACGAGAAAACTAAATACCTAAAGCCTTAGAAACCGAAAAACGAGGAGATAAAGATTCTTGGTCATCTCCGTCCTTAGCCGATTCACTAGCCCAGCGGTCGTGACGCTTAAAAAGTCGATCTGGTACGCCAGCATTTACGGTAGCAGTGGCCCCGCCACTCCTAAGGCTATGCGTACCAATGGCAGAAATATTAGGAACAATATCTTTAAAGGCCTCTAGCACTAACTCTCTTAACCTTGAATAGCTTAAACCTTTAGATCTAGGCTTATAACCACATTTAGTTTTGGAAAGCTGACAAAACAAAGGGCTATCACAGGAAAGCCCAGCTCTATCTAAATAACAGTTCATCATAGCAACCGGACAAGTTGCTTTCCTAGAAGAAGCTGCAACAATCCAAGCTTCATCTCTATACTGATCAGTTTTACTAGATTGAATAAATAACTTTAACACGTCATCTTCGATCCTAACATCGGATCGAACAAGCTTAGCAAGCTCATCAAATCTGAGAAAGGCAGCAAAAGCTAGTAAGCAAATAACAGCCGAAGGAATATTATACAAAGAGGCCATTGAGTCCGCCTTGGAGGCAACTAACTGTTCTAACTGAGAGACTGTGATAGGCTCCTTCTTGGTTGTTTGATGGGCCAGGAAACGCTGCGCACCGGCAAGAGTACTCTTCACCAACGGATGATCAGAAGGAGACGGCTCGCTACCCAGCTGGTGAAACCAGGCAATGCTCTGAACTGCTGACTCCAGGGGAGATGCTGTCTTCGCCTCAGTCATTAAATGACGCAAATAAATAGCAAAGTGAAACGGAGAAGCAGGAAAAACTGTCAAGCCATGTTCTCGTGCCCAAGACCTCCATCTGTTGTAAGAAGAAAAATACTTCGACGAAATACTGGGTGCTCTGCTAGCCAACGCAACATCCGGAAGAGAACTTGCAAGGGACTGTAAAGCACTGGATCCGTGGGGAACCGCAGCCCGAAGATCCGACCACATAGTAGAGCCGAACACATCTGCAAAATAAAAGCAAAAAGAACACACACACACCCTAAAAAGTAAAAAACAAATAAAAATGACCCGACCGCTGGAACAGCAAGACCGAGATGAAAGACAAAACCAGCACGCCGAAATATATACCCCTACTAATTACCCACATACCAGCGCACACGCCTAAACAAACATAAGATACCGATGAGAGCAGGAGCCCATAAACCTGATGAGAGCATATTTTCCTGCTAATTTCCAAGTCAAAAGCAGGAAAATACTAGTCCCACTAGAGTCTCGCTGCCGTCAGGGTATACCGCTATTATAATTACGGCTCTTGTAATTACCTATAACCAGAAACAGGTATCAGTTGCAATAATGCATTAAAGCCAGACGATGTTGGACAAATTTTAACGGTTCTTTTTGAAACTTTTAGTTTCCAGTTTGAAATAATATAATTTTCAATAAGGGAAAAAAAGGGGAGGGGGGGAAGGAAGGGCAGTGGAGGGGATCCCACTGCCATCTGCTTTACCTTAAAATAAGTGTCTTGCAAAGCCACGTGAATCTCCTAAGTTTGAGGGGTAAAACCACCAAGGTTCCCTCGGGCGTGGGTAGGGACAGTCGGTGAATACGCTGTCTTGTAGAACCCCCCTGTCCACAAATACATATATACGGGTGACTGACTATTCTAGTGTGGTGTAAAAGGTAGCTTAGTGGCCTGCGTGGAGTTTCTGGTCGTCTGAATTAGGAAATGGTTTTTTGAAAAAGACTGTGGTTCCTTAGTTTTTAGAAGAGGGCTTCAAATTTAGACAATTCATTCATTCAGTCATGTTTTTTTCGCCATATCACACATCATTACAATAAAGAACGTTAAAGGAAGGAGATGGCGAGGACACCTGAAAGAAACCACGGGGATGGTAAGGAATCAGGTTTCCTCAAAACTAGAAGTAAGCTAGTCTTATATGACAATGTGGACCAGCAGAAGTAGTACAAGGTCTTACAAAAATAATAGTAACAAAACATGAAGGAAATATTAAGTTACTATTGAGAAGAAATTCTTTAAGCTTTTTTTTGAAAGATGCGTAGCAGTATTTATGGAATTTCCCATCACACGCTCCGGCACAATGTACTTTACTTGAATGAAGCGTGGAATGCCACCCGCGGCATGTTAATAATTTATGGACAGGTGTAAATTTGCAAAGTCGTGAAACAGAAACAAGTAAACAAGAAAATATCACGCAAAACAAAATAAACTTCATAGAATCGACTCTTTTGGGAGATTTTTAAATCTTAATCTTTGTTAACTTTGTTAACTTAAAAGTTAACAAAAAAGAAAACAAAATACAAGTAAATGATATTTACTATATGGCTAAGTCTGTTGTCCCCCTGTGGTCAATTTGCGGTCCATCCATAACTCGCTGTGCGGACCATCATTTCAAAAGAAAATGCGCTGCTCAATTTACAGCTCTAGATGTTTTTTTTTTCCTAAAAAAAGTGATTTAAAGAAAGTCATCATATGTTTGTAAATCCTGAGGACTTGAATGTTAACTTTTTCCTTCCGATTTTTTACCTTTGTTTATTGGAGAACGAAGCTGATAAAGAAACCGGATCGTAATCTTACTAAAACAATCAACGGAAGAGAATTTTTCGCCCGCGAGCCATAAATCGATAAAACAAAGAAAAAGAAAGAAAAGAAGAAAAAGACTGTGGTTCCATAGTTTTCAGACTATGGACCTAATAAGAGGTAATATCAGTAACTTATTAGAAATATGATAATTACATTAAGTAATATCAATTTATATGATTGTTACACTAGACTGCGAGTAGTCTCTTATTTTTCTTTGCAAAGTCGAGAAAGCCAAGCACGTGAGCTGCGAAGCCGCGAGGCGCGAATCCGCGATAAACGAGGGCATAAGCCCAAGAAGAAAAAATAAGAGTGCTGACTCTTTTATTTTGCCTGGGGACAGCGACGCTGTCAAGGTAACTTAATCAACCAATTAAACCCAACTAACTTGAAACGATTTACAAACTGAAAAATTTTATAATTATTATTTTTTTAAATCCGGTAAGATTGCCTCGAGCCTTTTCCCCTTCAGGAAATTTAAAGCAGTTAAATTCTGTAAGATATCCTTAAACTTTTTAGTTTACAAGCGATTACCGTTAGGTTCGTAATTGTTCGTAGTTAGTTGTGACTCGTAACTATTTTATCGCTTTCATCTCCACCACAGACCAGTCAATCATCTGTCAATAGCTGTAAAATTGACCAATCGGTGACTCCTTTTCTGGGGTGACGGAGAATTTGTTTACTACAAAAGAGTCCGCAGTCCGTCTATTCTCATCTGCTCCTAATCTCTTACTGTATGTCGTGGTTTGCAATCGCCCTAGCTGAGATAAGAACTAGACGGATTTTAAGAGAAAAGGCGGACTACAAGCAGTCTAATGTTAAAAGACTGGAACCGGCACATTTATTCACAGGACCAGTTGATAACAAGAAGCTTGACACACCTAAACAACTTGAAGTTAAAGGAGAACATGACCCCTGCTACCAGGACGGTAATTTTTATCGAGATACTTGCCTTTGGAATTGGTACATTGTTGTATGTTGCAGGTACATGACACTTCTAGTGCTTTATCATTTGTAAAAATTAAAGTTTGCCTAAAATTAATATTTTGCTTAACTAGGAAACACTGCCTTTTGCATAAGCCAGTTTTAATCCTGATAGAACGGTACTTATGCAATCTTTTTTTTTTTCGAAATTTGAAATGTAGATATCATGAAATTATTGGAAATCGTGAACGAGTAATAACTAACAGGGTTAGGTTTGATCAAAAGGCCTTTTATGAAAGGTTAGAGAAGATTAAGGTATGTCATTTCCCGAATCCTAAACTCAGCATTGCCCTTCTGAAAAGGGCTCCAGTGTAACCTGTTTCTCATCCGAACAAGCTGAAAAAGATGAAAAAAAAATGTAAGATGCAAGACTACACAATTCAACTTTTAAAATGATTCATATTTAGCAGGCATGAATGCGTCGAAAGAAAAAAATATTTAGCAACGAATTTATTTTAAAGACATACACAGTGGAAAAAAATCCGATTTACTTTTACTCTTGGATTCGCATTTTGCAAAAACCGCAACGATAGCTGAGCCTCGACATTATTTAACTTGGCTGCTTGGAGTGGGGATTTGGAGGTCCCCATCATGATATGGCCACCAAACAAGCAAATAACAATTTATTCCTTTTTTGCAGCAAAGCAGAATAGTTAAAAATAAAAAAAAATAATAAAAAAAAAATTCTGCAAGTGGCGGATTTTCTAGGGAAATAAGCAATGATGTAAATTCAGCTCAAGATCTGTCATTGGATAGGTTTTATTTCACATCCCCCCCCCCCCCCCACCCCCCAAATCAGTACCTAAGAAAGATTGGATTACATTAAATAATGTGGTCTAAGATAAGTGTGAAGTAATAATCAGCAAATTTAAAATCATTTGTAAGAAAAATGCAAATTTACAGAAAATGGCTGTCCACTTTATTGTGTGTCTCAAACGCCTCCCTGGTCTGAGTAGGGTTAAAATATTTTAGGTTATACGTGTCATTGGCGAATTTGACCGAATAGAAGTCAAAGAAATTATTTGGAAGGATTCTGGAGGATAACACGCAACAGTCAGAACTTGCGTGCCATTCGCCGAGTCGGCTATGTCGGCCACATATATTCTTTAAACGCAAGGAAGTCCTTCTACGCTTAGGTTTTTTCTTTTTGTTTCAAATCAATGTTTATTCTGATGCATTATTACACATAAAGAAAATGCGTTTTCTTGTTTTTAACCGATATTTTGGCGAAAAACCTAAAATAAAGCGTCAATTGGAAGTAAACAGAAAACCACGTGGAGACGAGTACAAAAATTCATTACTCTCTATATAAATTAACCCATCTTGCAAAAACGATAGCTCATCCTCAAATCTGATGATTAAAGAATATAGACGGTCCTTACAGTGAAATGCGGGAACTGATTAAAACTCTGCATTGCATGTACCACTCTCTTCAAGAAAGGTAGTCCGCTCAGCACAATACAGGTTCAGTCGCTATACAGGCTTTTTTTCTGTTTACGGGCCGGTTGATAAACTCCTGAAGCAGACATACTCTAGACATCAAATTTAAAATGCAATAAGAAGGAGGCGAGAGACTATGGGACTTCTGGAAAGGCAAGCAATATCTATCAGTACGGACTCATGCTGCATCAAGGCATTTTAGAGTATGTGTCTGCAAAGTATGTTGATGTAGGCAATTTCGTGTTTTTCATAGAAATAACTTTGGAGTGTTAAAATTGGAAAAGCCAGTTTGATTAATAACGTAACTGTTCAGCCAATTGATTCGTAGTCAGTTGCAGCTTTAAAATTGAAATTGTTACACTAAAGAAATGTCTCTGAAAGATTACCAAGTAAATATTAAATGATATACCTCTGCCCAATTGCCACATTTTCCTCTACAGCTTTTGCGACAGAATACAATCGCATCTTTATCTTCAAGGATCCAATAAAAGGCAAGATACTTCCGGGTCACGTGATAAGAACAGAGAAGGTGGCAAAAGAAGTGAGCTGCCGTGTGAAGTGTTTCTTGGAGCCTAACTGTGTGTCCATAAATGTGGGCCCTCCAGACGATCAAGGACAGCGCACCTGTGAGTTGAATAACTTTACAGATGAAAGTCCATCTCAGACAAACTTGCAGGAAAAGCCAGGTCACATTCACTATGCAGTTGAGGTATTAGATATTTTTGCAATAAATTTTAATCAATTGCAAAGAGTTTAAAAACGTCGTAACCCTCGGACGTACAGGGAGGGTTGGTTTAGTACCCCTCCCCCTCCGCTGAATGCAAACACCGGAAAAAAGTTTTCTATCGCTTTTATAAAATAAGTTTACTGAGAAAAAAAACTCAAAAACTCTTTGTTATGGCAGTGATTAAAACAGAAATTCTTACCAGTCCCAAAGTCTTGTACACGAAGTCTTGCACGCATAATCAGTTCTTGTTTTGCAAAGAGATGCTTTCCAAAAGACGGAATTTTCTCACTTAAAATGTCAGCTTTAGCGAAAAACAATTGACACAACTTGTTTGTAAAGATTTCCCAAGTTTCAGCCGACGAAGCAATGGGTAAATAAAGTAACCTTGTCGAGTTTTGAACTCAAAAACTTTTAATTTTCAAATTCGTGCTTACGTGATTAGCGCGCGAAAAGCAAAACATCTTGACGTCCAGCCATGTTTACATACTCTCATGCAAACAAGCCTCTCGGCCAATCACAGCGCGCGTTCTATCTTAGCTATTTTATTTAAAAAAAAAAAAAAAGTAGTAACTGACGTTTTCAGTAGCTGTTCGTTTATCCCCCGCGTTTACTTTGAGGCACGTTTAGCGATGGTCAGTTACTATTGTCACGAGATATGGTGTTATAAGCAGCAGGTGGTAAAGCCATTATTGAGTGAAAACGCATGTTTTTTCAACTTTTTTCAACAATAAAAGTAAAGCTTGTAGATAAGATGATGCAAACTGCTTATTTATGTGTTATTATACATGCCAAGCACGAGGGTACGTCCGAAATTTAACCGAGACGATCGCAAGTAATGCTTGTCTTATGTGACAAAAACAGAATGCAAATACGTTTATAAAGACTTTTGTTCTTGGACCATCGAAAGTTAATAAAAAATAAAACAAAATGCTGAAGCTCACAGTGTTTATCACCGCTCTTTAATGTGTTTGATTTTTGTTCAAATACGTCTAACCCTATATTCAGCGCTGGCTTTTTTGCCTCCTGGGACGGGGGGGAGGGGGTGATTCTAAGCGCCCCCCTCTATAACTTTAAAACCGCTCAAGATAAGGCCAACGGAAATTACACAGGATAATGCTCACAATATTTCCAACATCTAGGCATAATTGGATTGACACAATGGCGCCATTTTAACGTCAAATTGATTAACTTATTGGTGAAACCCAAACTTCATCAATTGTTTTCTTAAAAGTAGACGTATAGCTAAAAAAAGCTTCTAAGTCATGAAGGTCGCTAATTATAACCCGTTAAAAATCTGTATCAATAGCAGTGACATAATGATGACGTCAGTTATTATTAACAAAGAAACTGGAATCATTCCCCAGCCTGGATCTACAAGTTTGAATTATTAAACGTATTCCGTTTTGCTTAAAACCCTTATAAATCGAGGTAATGGTGATGTAAAGTTTCACTTAGGGATAAAAGAATGCTTAAGAAGAAAATAAAAAAAGGGATGAAATTCTGAGAGAAATGAACACTGTGAAAATTTGAATCCAACGTCCGCCATTTGGTCATTTAGAAATGTTTTCAGATAAATTTTAGGAAAATTCGCTAGGTTTGGTTGTCATTGCTTGGACGGTTTTAAAGTTAAGTTCTTCAACTTTAAACTTTTGGGGGGCCTCAAAAGCGCCCCCCTGGTCAGAATAGGGTTAATATGTATTGGATAAAACTGAGGCTAAAGATAAGTAATACACACAGGTATATAAGTTAGCAACTTAAAAGACTTAAAACGAGGGACACTGCAAACTCTTTGGCAACTAATTACCAGCACTAATAATGAACAGCTGGTATCTTTTTTTCAATAATCGTGCAAGTTCATGCAGTATCTGGCTATAGGACAGAAATTTTGTTGTGTAATTAAATTGTGTTTTCCAACAGAAATTATTTCACAGTAGCCCATGCCCTGGAAAGAACTTCATCTGTAAGGTAGGCTACGCAGATAAGTGCTACCGATGGGTTTGCCGTGATGGTTTCAAAGGCGAAAACTGCGACGAAGGTATGGCTCATCAGATTGAATTTGTTGTTTTCTATGTCAGCATGTGTTAGCACATTGTTTGGCTCACAACGCGGACATCCAGTTAGTTTGCTCAACCACCTTCATGCGCTAGGATTTTAAAGAATTGTTTTCATTCTCCTATTCAATTTATTATTTTCCCAACGTTTAGGGGCTTTCATGGTGGCCCGATACTGCCTGACATGGCAGAGTCGTCAAACATATGGAGCTTTACTTCAGGGTACATTTGCCACCCTGCATTTTACCCTCAACTTGACGTGACAACTGTCTGCTGGGCTGCCTATGCTTGTCTGCGGATCCCCCAGTCCAACCTTATAATGGCATATTCCTGAAAACAATCCCTTATTATGTTAGATTTAGAACAACCTCCATCCTTATTAAAGCTTTTAAACATCCTGTTTTCGACATTTCTTTCTGATTCATCCACGTAGACATTAATGAATGTAAGGACGGATTACACAACTGTGGCGATGTGTCCAATTGTGAGAATACCAATGGCTCTTTCAATTGCATTTGCAAAATTGGTACAAAATACAATGGTAAGTGATACTGACATGAATTATAGCAGAGACCTAAAAATAAAGTTTACCTCCTCGTAAACTTTCTTCAAGGCTTTGGCCCATTTCTTGGCATGGTTTCAGGATATAAACGGACGTCATTTTTTCGTGCAAAATCTCCTCAAAAGGTAGACAACATCCATCGAGTACTGATTCATTGTCTGACTCTTGTGTTTTCTCCCATTCTTTCGTTCAGTTTAAGTAACAAATTCAGCTATCTAGTCTTCGGATAGCGCTGAACGTCATAGTTATAACATGTCAGGGGCACCCAACGAATGGGCGCGCCACTTAATCATTACTGAACAAAACGAAAAATTGATTCTACAGTTCTTCAGAGCCCTGGTTCTCCGGGCCATTCAATCGTAATTGAACAGAACACAATCGATTTATGGAGTTTCCAGGCCGCTGGATGCTAAGACCGTCGGCTATTCTGTGGACTTCTCGGGCCACTAAGTCAGAGTTTAACAAAACATACTCGTCCAGTCGACAGCTCTCTTCGCTCTGAGTTGTATAAGCGCAAATCCACCCTTGAAAAATAATAACACGAGAAAGAAACATGCAAATGAAAAACATCCATAAGATAGAACGCAAGTAGGCGGGTGAGAGACAATGGAACTAATAAGCCATTTCAAACTGCGCAACAGGCAATAAACAAATAAAAAAAGGAGGCGACAAAAGAAAAATAACAGCAAGGTAATGGCAGAAATAGCAAGCAAAACGCTAAATATCCGAAACTGACAAGGCTAGCTTGAAACCTATTTGATGAAAACAACTGCATTAAGGTGACTCGACCCAGTTTCTTGGGGGGGTGTGCCATCCTACTTTGAAGCTCTCTGGTATCCCCACCTTTACTTTTATCTTAAGTCTAACACATAGAATGGATAACATATAGATCAATCTACAATACAACATAAAATTTTTGGCGATCGGAGTAAATGTCACGTGGTTATGATGCCACGTTCCTTTGAGGTCTGAGTCGAAAATCTGCTGTTGTCCGCATTTTTTCGTGAAAATCTCTCGGCTACACATAGTGCGCTTTAGTGCCTTGCGCTGAACAGAGTTTCACCAAAATCGCAAAGACCTAATTCGAGAAATTCAGCGGTTACCAAATTTAGGTCATAATATATGCGGAAATGATAAGCAAACTTTACACGATTACATCTCATAAACTATGAGATTTATCCCTTTATTTTGGGCATCGTTATAACAGATGGGTCCTTGCAAGTCAGCAAAACGCTTTAGGGCCTTGTAAATGCGCGCGATTTCGAGCAAAGCAAATATATATAAATTATAGTTTTCGCTATTTGTTGACGTTTGTCAGCGTTTAAGAGTCCTTCTTACGAAAAAAGAATTTTCTTAAAAATTCGTCGTTTTTTTTCCTTCAAATTTTTTCAGGGCCACAATTGATTAACTAACTACCCGGACTCTGAATTTCATGGTCATTGAAAAACTGTGACATTATCTTCTATAAGCCCAAACTTGAGTAAACATTGAAGATTTTTAGCGTTTTGGCTGAGTTTGTGTTTTGGGAGTTGCCTATTGTTTCTAGTCTGTCATTATACAGCATTCTTGTTCAGCACGCGTGCAATGACCGCCCTTGGCTGCCTTCCGAATGAGCAGTTCTAACACGAAGTAATTTAAGTAATTACTTATTTCCCGCGTCACGGTCCAATTATGAGGGTCTCAATGGGGTTAACCGATGGGCGTAAAGCGGCCAAAAATTTAGTCCATGCCGTAAATAGGGTAAAAAAGAGTTAATCGTAAAAGAAATGAAAAAAAGAGAGAAGGTGATAAATTCAGTTATGGCTGCGTTGTTTATTTCCCGGCTACTTTGACTCCGTACGCACGTTAGGCCAAGCTCCTTTTAGGTGTTAACCTAGACCTAGGCTCTATTTCCGCTGCTCACTCGAAGAACCAAGTTTTTTTTTTCCCATAAATACTAGTAAAACAACGCGCAGAGATGTCACTGTTTGTAAAACACTTTGCCGATAAACAACAATTCCCTGTTTCAGTCTCTGACACTACGGTAGACATTGCCATGCCTAATCCCTGTACAGCGTCTTCCCTCGCAATCTTGGTCGAGGCATTTCGGTGGCATACCTGAGGAGAAAAAAAAAAAACTCGGTCGGACCACGTGACCCGGAATGCATTAGCCGCGCGGAATAATGAGGCCTAAGGACAAGTCAACGGCAGACAGTCGTTCTGTGCAGTCTTTTCTCTGTCATTAAAAACACCGGACACGAGAATTTTGTTGTTGGCCGTTTTCACACTAGAGCTAGAGATGGATTTTCCGTCTGAGACTAGCTTCTGTACTGTCGCCCCCTCCCCCACAGACACCCCTTCTCCGATTTCTTCTGAGGTGAGGGGTCGGCTGTACACGGGCTATCTGGAATGGTTAATCCATCTTCAAACTGTCCGTCAAAATTGACGGATTAAAGTCAGGTGGATTGTTCATTCGATCAAATTAAGACGTATTACCTATCTGACGCGAATTATCAAACGGATAACCCGTCACGGCACTGCAATGATCCGTCTCTAGCGTGAAAACGTCCATTTCTGTTGTAAATGAATACCGCGCCCCCGCCTTGAGTTAAGCGTTCGTGTGTCTGCTTTTGCTTTTTGACAAATATTATTTTTATATTCACTATCGACATTTTTTACGCGTAAAATAATATTAGAAGTGGAATACTTTATAAAAAGTATGATCTATCAAATGTTAAAATTTTACAAAAGAATGGCTTATTTCATCCCAAGATGATCCTAAGACCTTTATTTTGCTTTAAAGTTACTAGAAATACAGGTTTATTAATATTTAACTCTTTGAGACAAAAGGAATTAGTTTTTAACTTTTTTGTTAACCGTAACTGAAAAAAAAAAACATAACCGATAGCAGTAAAAGAGCCGAAACTTTAGCCAATAACCGTAAAAGCCACCACCCCATTGAGACCCTCAATTATGTATGCAGTTAGAATAGTATTAACGTTATCTTGTAGACGGCATAACAGGCAATCTATTTAAGAGAACTATTAAGGGTAAAAACTTTACTTTTCAAATTATCGTAAGGTAAGGAACATCCTGGGGAAACTGCAGGGGGGTTCAACCATCCCCCCCTTGAACCACGGTGAGAGGTGGGGGTATGCGTTTGCATGAACGTTCGAGGGTTAAGAAACAGCAATTTATATGCATCTATAAACATTTTTCTTTATAATTTGTTTTCTTTGCTTTTCTTTTAATTGATTCAGCATCGTGTGAATCGCAATGGACATGTTTTGGGTCTTCGTGTTATAAACTGCACACATCGCGCGAGAACTGGAACAATGCGAAAGTGAACTGCCAAAATGTTGGTGGTAAGTTAGCGAAGATTGAAACCAAGGAGGAAAGTCGATTTATCACAAGAAAATATTTCAGTAATAAAGGTCGTTACTGGATTGGACTTTCTGACTCCTTTAAAGAAAAAGACTGGAGATGGACCGACAAAACCGGATTAACTGGTTATAAAAACTGGGGAAGTGGCCAGCCGAATAATTTTTTTAACCAAGACTGCGTAGCAATGCTAAAGGGAACGTACCATTTTGTGTATTTTAACGCAAAATGGAACGACGAAGACTGCTCCTTGAAACTGGGATTCATTTGCGAAAAAAACTGAACGTTTTTATGAGTTGCTTGATATAACTTGGATCCGTCAAGTTGGCGCTCTTAGAGTTCTTGCAATCAGTTCTCAGATATATTTGCACCCAATCTGCCATTTATTTACTACATGAACCCGAATGCCATAGTGTTAAGAAAACTGGAAGAAGCTGGTAGTTGTGGGTGTGAAGGCGAATCTTTATAAAGAAAAAGGACTTTAACATAGGTCACTACGGTCGCCTGGGACGGTTGGATAGATGTCACGTCACGCAAAACACGCGTGACCTTTTACTGTCGTCCTTGTGGGACGGTATTTTTTCGCCGGGTTTCTCGTCGTGAAAACAACGGCGAAACCGATAAGAGTTCATGCTTACTTATTGTCACTTTTCTTCTAAAACTGCGTAGCCAAAGGGTTAAGTATGCGTTGGGGTGTGTTTATATTGGGCGCTTTCCATTTAGTCAAAATTTCCGGAATTTCCGGTTCGGCGGTAAATGGAACACGTTTCGTCGGTTCGTCCCACTGGAAAATTCCCAGAAAAAGTGGAAAATCTAAAAAGGTGGTCCCGTTTTCCCGGTTGGAATTTCCGAACGGAATGTCGTGTTCCATTTACGTTTCTCGTAGTTTGTACCAGTTCCAGGTCCACGGTCGGGCACCGCGCCACGTACCGGGGCTTACGACCAAATGGAACAACTTTTTACCAATCGGAAATTCCACTTTTGCTACCACCGAAATTTCCCAGTTTTTTTCGTAAATGGAAAGCGCCCATTGATTTACCTATCAGGGAAATGAAAAAAAAAAAAAAAAAAAAATAGAGAAAATGTCTGAGTTCATTCATAACTAAGCTCGCGACCGCATGGAGACTGCTTGCTGTCTACCTAGTGTCATCCGCCGTGACAGAGGAAAATTGCAGAAAAGAAAGGTAAGGCCCAGTTTAAACATTGATCTTTTCATGTACTGAACTTAATACCTATTTAGGCCGACCCAAATGATATAAGTTCGAGGTTGGTTCAGAAGTCAAACTTAATTAGTCGAACTAGATTCATTTTCCCGATGTTCATGGCCTAGAATGCTTTAAACAAGTGAAAATAAATTTTAGTAAATTGTGCATTAGTTTCGGCACATGAGAAGTTCGACGTTTGTTTGATGATTGTAGCCTTTTTTTAACTTTATAAAACTGTATGTTTATCAAGAAAAGATTTCTTTAACTAAAAAAGTGTTCTCTTAGGAAAGGAAAGTTCAAATAAAAACATCGACTAGTTTGGAAAACAAGCTAGCTTCAAGTTGTACCCCTATATTTCTGATTGGCATTCTTCAAAAATGAGAAACTCGTCAGTAATTGAGCCTTCTGCGAGAGAAATGTTACAAGCAAGTTTCGCACATGACTTCACCGTCCTCTGTTTTGTTGTCCGATCTTAAATTGAAAATTTTCCCGCCTTCTTACCGTCATGCCCCAGGCCGCCAGTATACGCATCCAACCGTCCCAGCCTACCGTAGTGAACTATCTTAAATTCCCTAACAATTGACACCCTCCCAATTACGTCAACTTTAGAGAGCTTTTATATGAGAAAAAAAATGACCTCTTTACCCAAGCCAACAACGTTTGCGCATGCTCTGAACATCTTACCCTGACCGTGTTGACCGGGCTGAGCGAGCAAAAGTGTTTAAATGGAGAAAATTTGGCCCAGCTAGAAGGTGGCCTTATTATCGACTAAGGGTGACACTGCTAGGTCACTCTTCGCACGCTGGCGTTTTTAGGGGAACTCGTATTTCATCTCTCTCCAAAAATACCCGTTCAACCGAGAACAACATTCCTTTCCTAATCTTAGCCAAACACATCGTACCCTCCAAATTCTGGAAGATTGACCTTGACGGCAGGCTAACCCGATAATTGCTCGATCTGCTTGAAACACTGGGAAAGCTTGATGACCTCTAATAAATGTTAGAGTCGCAGCGGCAAAAGTAAGATTAAGTGAGACTTTGGAATACTCCGTGCACTGTATAACCCTAGAGAAGGAAAGAAAAGTAACTCTAGTGACCCCTTTTTTACACTACCACGAGCTTATGAGTCGTGTTTAGCCTGTGAACACTTTATTTCAAAACTGCTGATTGGTAACTTACCACGCGAATAAAACAATGGGAAAAGAATGTTGTTCGCGGTTGTACAGGCGTTTGAGGAGAGGGAGGAAATACGAATTTCCCAAAAAACGTCTGCGTGGGAGGCTACGTTCTTCCATGCAGGAAGCTAAACATGTTTTTGCTATCACACTCGCTGTTTAGTGTATTAGTGTGCAGATTATTATTCAGGACATTAATCAGTAATTTTTATTACGAATTTTTTTTTAAAAACAAAAAAAAAGACAATGCTCTACACCCTTGTTTAATATAAGAACGTCTAATTTTTCGGTTGAGGCTGAACGTTTTTTTTTTATTATCATGATCATGATTATAATTATTATAATCACAATGATTATAACTATATATATAATTTATATATTTATTATTGTTATTATTATTATTATTATTATTATTATTATTATTATTTATTTATTCTCAGTCTTAGTTTTATTTTACTGGGGTCTTTAGCTCAAACTAAGCAATAGACGAAAAAACCCATGAATAGGCAAATAAGACGTCACTTTCACAGCGTATTCTTTCCAGATAGACAGCCTTCCTGTCTGTTAAACGCTGTTAATTCCTGAAGACAAAGCTCGCACATGGACGTTGTAGTAAGAATGAAAACAAAAATGCTATTATTTTGTACTGAATGCAATGAGATAATACGTGCGATCTGATTGGTCAAAAGCCTAGGGTTTATTATACTGGTAAACTCATAGAAAATGCATCCAGAACACGAGCCTTACACAAAACCGACTAATAACCTGCAAACGCCGATTTTGGAAAAGCTCAAAAACAAAACAATTTACTTACTTAGCCCTAATGCGTTGGTTTTCACATTGTATTGCTGATTTTCACTTTTCGCTACTGTCATAGTTTTAAAAACTATAAAGTACAAATCTGGAAAGCAGTTTAATCTATATTTCGCGACGATGCGAAATCGCAGAGAAATACAACAACTGTGTGAATTTGTGGTGTAGAAAGTTTTCAGAAAAGCTTAACTTTGTACCAGCCTGCAAAGAAACCGACATCCCTAGCAGTCTTGAATTGTATCTCTGTGAAAATTAAATTGAAAGACATTGTTGGTAAAAAATCTGATCAAGTTCTGGTACAAAATCGGCCGTTGCAGTTATTAAACAATCTGTAAACGATGATGAAAGATGTCAGTTCTTCGGTTTTTTTCCAACCTCCAGTAGTTTAAGGCCCGGAACTAAGGGGTTAACCTGTGGAAAATGAATTATTGGCTATAACTTCGGCATTGATGATGGCCCTGAATTAAAATTTTGCACACATAAAGAACTCAGTATCCTTCACATTTTTAAGTATAAATATTGTCTCAAGACACATATGTCACGTGACTAATTTGCTAAAAATTATAAATCATTGACCAATTGGTAGTCGGTTTAAGAAAAGAAATCGAGCAATAATATTTTCTTATCCACATTAAATATTTATAACACGTCACGTTGGAATCACCGTCCATTGCACTTCAATAAAGAATTATGAGGGAAAACATCATTTTTAATGCCCAAATTTAGTTTTGAAATATCTAAACTTTAATTTTAAACTTCGCGTACTTTCATTACAAAGGGAGAAAGTTAGGTTTGTTTATCCTCTTTCAGAAATCCCGATTTGTTTATCCAAATAAAGTAAATTCGTCATTAATTGGCTAATTTCCTTCATTTTCAATTTTTGGTCACATGATATTTCACGTGATTAATTAAACACAAGAAAACCTCAAGAATTACTTTTGGGAAAAAAAGTCATTTTGCTCTAGGTCTCCTGGCGAGAGATATTGCCAATCATTCATTGTGCTCAGAAAGACCTTTGTCCCAGGCCTTAAACTCCTTGAGACATTTGCAAAACTCATTAATAGCGGAGCTCCGCGCCCGAAGCGCGCCTGCGGAGCACCATGGGTAAATAAATCTACCCATCCCAGAAAATTTGGTAATCACGTGACCGACCGAACGACCGACCGACCGACCGTCCATCCGCACCACAGGCATACCAATGTTTACTCTCACACTTTCTAGCTACTCTGGGAGCCCAGGAGAAAGCTGATTGCACATCAATGTTGTCATCAATTGACAGCTGTCAAAACAGGGTATCCGCTGACCAGTATCACTTGGCCGTATCGCGGGCTCAGGTGTCAACCCATCGAGGTCGAGTATTTTTTGAAGTTATCCGCTTAAAATTTACTCGTTTTCAAATGATCGCAGGCTCACGTTTACTTTTTTTTAAATTCATATCAAATATGTTGTGTTTATGTCAGTATCGCACCGCACTATTACGATTTTGATTTCAAACTGACCTCAGACGCAAAAATTCAGGCAGTTTTTTTAAAAGACAGGCGGGGAACCTTTTCTTACCATGGTTACGTGTTGGTCACGCTCCACGTCCATATTTTTATGCTCCGATTGGTTAAAATTTGACAGGTGAGTTCATGCGTAAAATTTATGCAGCATCTTGAAAGTTGTTTACTTTGACTGCTGAAGCTGACAGAGTTTTGCGTCAACTTGTGATGTTTTTAACTGCCCTTTTCCACTGGATGTACAAAATGTAATACAGCTGCTATCAAGAGTGTTCTCTTATTCATGGCTGGT